GCCGCAACCAGTCGGCAGCAGCTGCACCGTGGCTGGCCTCCAGCTGTACACGGTTGCTCCAGTTGTTGACAGCTTATTCCTATTACCAAGGTGATGCTCGGTAAATCGCGTTCCTAATTAAGAGGTGTGAATTTCCTCCTAGGGGGGAGAACGGGGAATCTAGCGTACATAATAGAACAATCCAGTTGTAGTTGCCTTCACTACAATATTCACCTTTGTTGCGGAAACGAGTGGAGCAGCTACGAGCGTAAAGCCTCTAGCCGATGCGGGGAAGGGAGGGGGGGGGCAAGGGCTGCGAAGGCGCCTCTATCGAGGCGGCGCATGCAGGGTGGCAGTCTTGGAGGAGCGCAAGCGCCAGACCGCCCGAGGGTGACGACGCCTGCATGCGCGGAGTAATGCTGGGCAGCCGTGAAGGTGCTCAAATGGTCCCCACTTTGCGCTGTCTTCAGGGACGCCGCGCCATTTGAGCAGATGTTGTAAGGTCGCACGTCGTCCAGCTTATCCATAATGCAGTTAACCTCGTAGGAGTCACCGAATTTCCCCTGAGTGTCCCTGACAGAGAGCCAGCCAGCGGCTGCCTCAAGCGACAGCATCGTCGGGTCTCGTGGCCTCTCGGGGATCAGCTGCGACACTTGAAAAGCGTCGTGGCATTCATAAGTCTGAGGATAAGTCTAGGGGAGGGCCAATCAGTAAGCTACCTCACCGATCTTCTCGATGATAGGGCCGGTTTAGGGAGGGCAAACTGCTGCTGCTAATCCAAACTTTATCTCCCGGTCGGAACTCCACATCTCGGCGATGGGTGTCAGCGAAAGATTTCTGCTGCCACATGGCTCTGAGGATAAGGCCTTGCTCAAGGTCGCATAGACGTTGGAACAACTTGATCATAGGCGGGGTTACAGACGGGATGAGGTAATCCACCACATCAATTCAGCTGCTGTAATGTGGTTTTCTCCAATCATCACCTCCAAGGGGCTCAGCTCCATCGAGGAGTTCCACTGCGTGTTGTACGCGAGCTCCAGAGCCCGCAAGAGTCCTTCGCACTCCGAATTAGCCAACTGCTGTGGATATGGTAGAAGGAGGTGAGGATCGGGACTGCACGAGCGCCAACGTCACCCCCAGGAATGCCGGGTGGAGGGAAATGGCATCTGCTACCTTGTTTCTCGGGCCAGGGAGGTAGCAGCAGAACGTGAAATCCTAAAACTCATCGAGAACATCCAGCTATCTGGCTGTTCTTCCCCCTGGTGGCTTGTTGTTGGAGAGCTTCTGGATGTGTGTCAAGGCTGGACGGTCTGCGTAGGCAGTGACCCAGGCGGAGCGAAGCAGACGCTTCCATTTGTCGAGCGCGGAGACCAAGGTCAAGACTTCTTGGTCAGAGATTGAGTAACGCACTTCCATTTCTGTAAGGGCCCGATTGAGGAAGCCCATGGGCTTGCTTCCTGTTCTAACCTAGCTCCGGTTGCAAAACCAGATGCATCGGTAAACAGTTGGTAGGTCTTGGAGCTGTCAGAGAGATACAGAGTGGTAAAGTCGATATGCCGCTGCTTAAGGGCATGGACAGCTTGGGTGTACACATGCTGGCAGACGAACGGAGTTTTGGAACGGGTGGGGTCGAGGAGGGACTTAGCCAGTACTGCGAATTCGGGACCCATAAGCCTACGACAGTTTTTCACAGTGCCGAGGAATTGAAGGACCTGGGTGACGTTCTAGAGGGTCTTTGGACAGAGTTGAACAGCCTGGAATTTATCCGGCACAGGTTTTATGCCTTCCGCTCCAATGGAGAATCCCAACTAGACAAACGCCGTCTGCCCTAAGCGAGATTTGCCGAATCCAGGAAAGAACTGATTGCGTAAGAAGACGTCCAGTACTTTGCGTAAGAGGTCTAACTGTGACTGGAGGTTGGACGCATAGATCAAGACATCGTCGAGGTACGCGGTAACGCCCCGACCCAGCCACGGTTGGAGGTAAGCATTAATGTTCACCTGGAAGGTGACTGGCGCCCCCTGGAGGCCGAATGGCATGACTCTATACTCAAAGAGCCCCAGGATGGAACGGAACGCTGCTTTCTAGCGGTCCTCCGTTGCCATGAGGATCCGATGAAAGCCAGAATCCAAATCGGGGGTGGAGAAGTATTTGACACCATCAAACATTTTTACTATTGTGGGGATGTGAGCGAGGGAGAAATCGGCAGTCACAGTCAAGGCATTCAAGTCTTTG